TCGAGCTAATCTTAGGATTTAATTGTTCGCGAGAGAGAATAGACTCGCGGCTAAGAGAGCTCGCCTTTAAGGGAATCGTATCGTGCAACGTGAAACTGCGAGATTCATTTAAAGCTACAAGAAGATTAAAAGCTAAAGAAAGGAGAAAATTACCATTGGATAATTTTGATACGCGAAATTTGAAGTAATTGTACATTAATTTTGAATAATTGCATTCGTCAAATAATTAAACAAGTTAATTAGAGCAGGCAGAAATATTTTTGTAATTTTCAGAATAAATTAATTATTTTTTCATTTCTTTTACCTTAATTCTTTTGAATAATTTGTTTTTTTAAGAATACACATGAGTTACAGCATTCTAATTCAAACGCAATTATTAACGGAAGGATATGACCAATTAGCCCCAAGTTTTTGAAGATGACTCATTAAATGGAAAAGTCCGTAGATAGAAATTTGTTTCTCGCTAATGCGTTCGTAATTATTAGTTTGTACTAAATATTGGAAAATTGGCACTTTTTACGGAAGTACTTAGCGTTAACTGAACGAGAATCTCTCATTTTCCAAAGTCATTAATGTAGACATTAGTAAAGTAACATAAACACGGATGTTGTTGGTTGATAATAGTGTATCAGTTACATATGCAATTGAAAATTGCTGATCTCTTGCATCTTTCATAAAAAATTATCCTATAATTTTTACATTCAATGTGTGAGTTTTTCTTGTGATTTATGTAAAATCATATTTCTTAGCTTGTTCAAAACATGCTTTCCACGCATACATTTATGCTCCTAGAAATTCTTTCTAATTATTTCAAGATTAACAATTCTCTGGAAATAATCCTTTGTTTTGTTTCAAAGTGATTAAATCCGAATCGATCTTTCTCAAAGAATTCTATGAAATATAATATGATGGCTTTAGCACATTTTGTATTTTCTCAAAGAACGGTCATCGATCACAGCTTTGCAAATGTTATCGTAAACCGATATATGCGTCTGGTCTTTTCTATGCGAGAAGGGACGTTATAAATAATCTCCGAGACCAACGTCACATAACATCGTGGAATTGACGTTATCTGTGTCGTCGCGGTTATGGCGTCATTCATCTCGCGAGCGTAATCCTTCGTCACGAAAAATCTGCTTCATAATTCAAGCTACGTCGTCGTAAAAGATAGAATGAATACGAAATGATTTATACCCGCGGCGCTATATTGGACTTACATGAGGTGATTTGGCCGAGAAAATATGCAGAGAGAAAGGCAAAGAATTTTTGGAGAATCTTCTGTCTCATATCTTGTAACATTTTCTCTCTCTAATGTCATCGATATTTATTTTAAATAGTCTACTGAATAATTTATTTGCGACAATTGCAAACTTGATAGGGTCTGCTGTGACGCACAATAACATTTGCGAAAATAATGTTTGTTGCTGGAAGCTATCAAATCTTATCCGATAATAACATTCGATCCGCTTATAGGATTATTCCAAGAATAGTGCTTGCAAATGCGAAAAGAATTAGATTGCATATATACATTCATACGTATCAACGAATCGGAAGTGGCATTGATATAATCCGGTTATTTATAGTTTGCAATGTCTATAGTTGTAGCCTATAGTTCTATTTTTGTAATGAAGTATCATTAATATCTCACGGTGCGTCGCGAACGGCCGGCGAGGATCTCGCTTTATTGTTTATGTTTATGTTATTCTTTGTATTCGGTATCAGTTTTCATTCGCGTTCTTTTTATCACCTGCTCTTCTCCGCGAAAATTCGAGAAACTGGATGATTTTTTCGCAAAAGGGATAGCTTTTTTTATTTTATTTCCTTTTTCATTGAAATAATTTACAAACTTTCTGGAATTAAAAAGATCGATTATATTTGTTATTTTTTGTAATTAATATATTGTTTTCTAATTAATAAAGTATAATTATAATAAATTGTGCGATCTTGGCATTTTTGAAAATGATATTCTGAGAATGAAGAGTCATAGATTTATTTTCGAAATTCTTGATGTTGCTCGCTAACGTAATCACACACATTACTTGCGTCTACTTAATTTACTGACTCACTGTCATCAGACATGCTCAACATGACATTATGTAGTTGTGACATGTACCATAATTCTCATACACGAGATACGCGACGACTACGCATTAGTTGCCAAAATTATCAAGTACCGGAAAGAGATAGCGGTTCTTAATCTTTCCGGAATTTTTTCTTTATCCGCCACATTGGCTATTTTTTCGAGATAAATTTCAAAACAAATTCTAAATAAAAACATTCGTTAATATCTTTAAATATTTTTAATATATGATATTTATTAATAATTTATATCTCTGTATATTAGATAAGATGTTGGGTGCTTCGATAATAAATATATTATTGGCGTAACTCTCCATAATTGCAAAATGCGTTTTACTCGAGTCCTCGTGCGTAACATATAAACAAGATACCGAGAGATTATACTTTTTATAGGACATTGCGGTCAGGCGACCATAATTTTATTCAATGAGGAAAACGATAATAATTTGCTCGAGATTGGTTACCACGTAGCCGACGACGCGCGAAGAAAAAGAAATGTGGTCACATAATAGTTAATATGTACAATTGTGCAACGGATGCGCAAAAGACGTACGCAAACATAATCTAAGAAACGAAAACATTTCCGGTAAGGATAAATCTTTGACGTATATTTTATACGCGATGCTAACAAAGTGTCATCCACGTTAAGCCCACAAGATTCGCTCATAGAAAAATTCGCGAAATAATGTACAATTTCAAGAAGAACTCTGCTCGTGGGCGTGTTCTCGTACCATGTCGTACGAGCGTGTCGCACGATAAACTTTTATCAGTGCGACTTGCAATTTGGCATATTATCCTGCCCGTGTTATCGGCGTTTCAGTCCGCTCAATTCACTTTCATTGGATCGTTGTTATTAAAACATCGTCTCGAGGGTTTAGTTTGCATTCTTGCGCGCCGACTCAAGCCGATATATATCGATTACTACATCTCGAGGAATGTCGGGAATTCGCGCGGTCGCGCGGGGTGACTGGTTTTATCAACGATTACGCTATCGCGGTTAAACGAGAACCCGAGGCGCGTGCACGCATACGTAACGCGCAGTTCCATGGTCCCCTGAAGGTTTAATAAATGCAAATGCAAATCGATCGGTTCGGTGCGACGTAGTACTAGGTGGTGACAACGCGAGATATCGATCCTACGCTGTGTGTACACTTTTAATACGGCCTGCAACGAAACACGAATCGTATAATATTTGCGAATAATCAAATCTCTCGTTTGTTCGCGATTAATTCATTCTCGTGGAATCGCGAAACTAACTCGACACACGTTTTCTTTTTCGAACGCAAAGTACACATATTTTACGTATTTACTAAAAAATCGTCAAATAATATGACGGATTTTAAGAATGTCGATGATAAGGAAGTTTGTTTGAAATATCTTGTATTTATATTTGTTCTCTTCGCTTACGCGCGTTTAAATCAATAATATCTGGAGAAATGTGTCTATATAGATCTATAGGTCTTTATTGTATAATTTATGACAGCGATGTTATTTATTTCTACTGTGTATCAGACGGAGATTGTCGAAAGAATTCCTTATCTGACGCCGTTTCATGCTCGGACCATTTTCATTTCTAGCGATATATCCGTGTCTCTGACACGTGTCAGCCACAGAAAATCCTTGACTCTCTCTTCACTATGATTGCAAGGCTATCGACGATTTTAAAATGATTCACGATTTTGTAACAAATCTCCGGCTAATTTATCGAACCAGATGTTTCCTCGATTATATCTGTCGTTTTTCATCATACGATCGACATTTTATCTCTTGTATTTACACTCTCTACCATGTAAATTAATCTTATTTGATAAAAACAAGGATTGAGAGAAAAATAAAACAAGTCATAGAGCATTATTTTCCCGCGTTGATTTTGTAGGCAAGATTCCTGTTAGATATCGATCAAGCAGAAAATTGGTGAAACGAACAATAGGTGAAAAAATGCAAAGTCGTTCTTTCGTCCCGTGATTACGCAACTTATGATGGAAACCGAATTGCTTTATCAATATCATCGACACAGACCACGTATATCCGTCTTGTTGACTATGCTTTCTCGTAGAAAGTAAAAGCACGCCGGGGTTTCGTGCCAAGGTGAGATCGTGGTGAAATCTACTCTTGCAGTATGTCCTTCGTTCGTTATCGTTATACATACTTATGTTAAGCGTGTGATGTTAAGCGCACACACGCAGGGGATATGGTACCTTAATAAATCACTAAAACATAAGCAGTTGATTTTCTATAATACAAGAACGTTATACACAATAATTTTTATACACGGTGTTAAAACTAATTCTAGATTTATCTAACACGAACAATCGAAGATTTTTGTTGAATTAAATCTCGGTAAAATTGATAGATATTTTATTATGATTTTACAAAAATGGTTCTGTAAAATCGTAATAAAAACTTTTACATAGCCACATGTACGATATACCCTCGGAATCTAAATATAATATCTTGAAATATGAAAGGCTTATATATGTGTGGAATATTAGCTATTAACCTTGGCCTTTGTCATCATAATACCGATTCTAATCAAACTTCTAAGGCAAATTTTTGCAAAACTTTTCGTGTATGCATAACTACACCTGATTATACCGTGTCCGGTGCATATGTCGATACTTTAAGAATGCTCGTTATCACACTATTAGCTTCTGGGGATTTCCAGAGAACAGTTATTTTCGCTTACGACATCGAGAAATCCTCGGAATATCCTTTCGAACAGAATAAACTCTTAATTCGCTGAAAATTTTTCACTTTTAACAAAACTTCAAACTTATTATTAGTAATTATCGATATCTTTGGTAAGAAAAGATTGTTTCTTATAATATTTTAAAGAATCATTATCGCTCCCGATTTTGTAAGAACGATGGTGCGACTGAAAATGACTGTGACTATAAATATTTTTCTCATTTATGTTTCAGTACCCACTTATCAGTGCAACATGTCGGTTACTTCCGTGCAGCCAGCCACAACCGAGAGCCTCTCCCGCCACGGGTTAGTAAATTTAATTCTTTCACGGACAACCGCGACTTATAATTGCAAATGTCTGTCCGACACATGTTCGTTTCCCTCCAATGGTTTTTCTGCTATGGAATGCGTCGATTTTAGGCAAATTTTTCCGTCGCAGAAAAAACAATAGCTTATTCATATGAATCTTATCTCGCCACATTGGAATATTCCGACCTTTGCCTGCCCGAATATTTCTTTTCCCGATATGAAATATGATTTTACTTTCTATACGAGATAAAAACAAAACAGCTGCATTTTAAATTAAATATTCATTCAAGTGTACGACTTGTTATTTTTTTAACCTTATCTTCTATTAAATGTATAAAAACATATGGAAAACATATGGAAATAATGTTTAATGATTAGCATAAATGTATCCTTACGATTAAGAACTAGAAGCTTCGACCGCGCTTACATAATCGTATCGTCGTTTTGCAATTCCGCGGTTAATTAATGCTAAATACAAACGGAGCAATCTTAAATGCGAAACGTAATAAAGAGGCAAGGTTTGCACGTTAGTCGAACCAGTGATTGCAACGTTTCCGTCAAAATGTGCAACGCGTAACTCGACTTCCTACGTAACGCATTGCATGCGCGTTTTACAAAGGCGGAAACACCAATCAAGAAACGTTAGACATTATACGTTGTCGAATCGAGAGAGTATTATTCAACATCAAGATTAGAAAAAAAAAAATACGTTTAATTTTTTTTTTTTTTTTTTTAGAAAAGTTGATTAAATTTCTCGCGTAAACAAAATTTTTTTTTTCTATCGCGGTTTAATTATTTTTTAATTTCATATTCCACATCGGTATCTGTGTGAAAATGAATCTTTATGTGTGTACAAAATATCAATTATCAGTCGATCACATATTCAGACACGCCAGCTTCGATTTAAAATACATATTATCCCGTGAAATCTTTATTATGTTTTAATTATTCACTTCAGCATCTCATTATATTTAATTCGGCAAGACAGAATTATTACGATGAAAAAATTTATAATTGCTCATCTGGCGTAATACCATCACCTGACAATCTCGCTGTTTTACGATTTATTATCATTTACGAAGCTTCGTTCTCGGCCTTTGTTCTCTCGTATATTTGCGTGACTGCGTCGAACGCGGCACGAATACGCGCAATACTGGCTTATTGCACGTGCGTTCACGTAGTCATCACGTGAAAGAAACGTTTTTCTTCCTGATTATCATATGCGCACGCTCGTTCGAATTAATCTATGGGCAATTTTTTTCTTCGACCGGCAGGTTCAAGGTAGTTTGTTCTCGTATTATTTTCTCATTTCGACAAATCATAGATCTCGAAATAGCTAAATGTGTCTCGCAAACATCTAAAGTCGTCGGACTTTTGCCCTTTCTCCTCTCGCCATAATATCGTTCCATATGCCGCGTTTTTTTTTTTAAATAATATATGGTCTGTGCTCGAAAGATATACATACAGAGTCCTCGGTAAGATTGAGGTCAGTGTTCTGTAACGGAAGTTTTTTGCGACCGATCTAATTATAATGTATGATTAGAGTTTACTAAGTGCTTTACCGAATTAAATAAATCGAATTTAAAAACAGAAATAGAACGGTAGTATTATTAAACGCAAAAAAAAATTAAGTAAGATTGTTGAATTTTCTATGGAAACTCTAAAACTAATCGATTTATTGATAATAATGATATAATTTTTACCACGATACATATAGTCATAAAAAGTCAGAAAGAAAATAATTTTGGAAAGATTAAGTTTGAATTAAATATGAATTTTAAATTGAACGTGTAATTCACGTGGATTTTTTTTTTCGTCGATTTACAGGAGCAACATCTCGTTATCCTGTCATAGCTTGTGCGGCAGCTTGGACGATAGCCTGCTGCAAGAGCCGCATCAATACCACGACAAAATCCTTACGATCGAGGAATTGCGCGCCCAGTTGAACTCCTGCTTTACGTAAGTCTCACGATTGATTTTTGCTCTTCGTTCGTTTTGCAATATATAAATCAACGGCGTAGTTACATCCGCGCGGGGAATTCTATGATAGACTGTGGGAGAATTAATCAGGCATTACGCAACGTAATTGAGTGACGTTACTGTCTAGTCAATGGAATCCGGTATGATCCAGAGTACAATAATTTCAATTCGTCGTAGTGACGCAATTATGTTCAATTTCTAACTCGAGATAAAAAATATTTTTCTAATGTAAATATTTGTGAATTCCACGAAAAATCAAAGAAAGCGTTAAAATCAATTTTTTTTCCAATTGTTGTGAAACTTTTGGCATAGATGTAATATAATATTTGGAGAACGAAAATCTTGTTAATTCTATTAGGCTGTGTTATCGGTCACGGAAACGAGGCTATAATAGGTATATCTAGTTTATCTGGTGACAGTTGACACAATTATTCGGTGGATCGATACCCTACATTTTCGGTATGTGCAATCTAAATGCACGATGATAACATGCAATATTTTCGCGAAATATTTTCATCGCAATTCAATTAATTAAGAATGTTTAATTTCCTAAAAGATATCTCTTTATTCAGAGTAGAAAACCGCTCTTATTCTCTTTCTCTCTCTTGAGTTTTAGGAAATGCAATAAATTCTTAATTCTATATATTTATTTATTGATCAATACGTAATTTTCTTATCTCATAAAAATTTGGCATTATATATTATATATTGAGAATCTGTAAGATATTTTTTCCCAACGATACAGTTCTTCGCGATGCAAGTCACCGTTTGCGCGAGAAGAACTCGTGATTCTTGTACAAAGCGCAGTCGCGCGTGTCGCATCTGACAACTTGTACATTCACGACGATTATCTTATTCTCTGTGCAGATGCGGAGTGTCGTGGAGCGAGGAACATGTCTCCCTGGACTGCAGCGAGTGCGGCGGTTATTCCTTACAACGGCCGTGTCCGCTCTGCGACGGACGTTGTCATACCGCGTGGAAGCGCGACCTCACCATGGTAAGTGTCCTCTCTATGATCCTCCTTCCCCCAAGAATAAATAAAATAAGTGGTTTCAACACCGTGTTCGATACATTTACCGTTAACCTTTGATCAACGCGATACTCTTTACATCGATTCCCTTTCATTAAATCGTTGATTAAATAAATTATTACCTATCATCATCATTCATTATTTATTATTTTGTTAACTTTTTCGCGATCATGACGTCTATTGTGAAGGACATACACATTTTTTTTTTTTATAAAAGTCGGGATTATATAATATTTCCTTTTTTTTTTGGCTACATGTGCATTAGTCATAAAAAAATATATATATGTGTATAATAAAAAATATATATATATATGTATGTATTCTCATTACAGTCCCATGCGAGTGGCAAGGCGAGATGGATCGGCGAATGCGGACTGAGCTGCGGACCTTCCTTGGAAGAGTCGTTGGTGCCCGCGTTTGAGAAACTACGGGCCACCTCGTGAACGGCGCCGGTTCAAGCACCGCCAACCATGCACAAGACTTAATCCATCACCATCCATCTAGCGTCACCCATCACCATTGTGTGCGAGATTCAAGAGAAAAAGAGAGAAAGAATGTGTGAATGTGGACCGCGGATGATGCGTTATGTTCCTGCGGAGGGCGGCTGACAAGGAGGAAAGAATTAAAGGAGGTCTGTTCCGGACTCCCGCGGCTTTTCCCGAGATACAAAGTCGGATCCAGCTGGTCCCTCGATATCGGAGACTAACGTCGTCATTATCATCGTCGGAAGTACAAAGCTACACGTCCACCAAGGATTTCTACGATGTACCGGAAGATAACTACATTGTAACAAATTGGTTCGAACTGCTCGTTATTGAGAATGGACTTCTCTTTCGGAGGATTTACACTAATTCAATTTTTTTAAATAAAAAATTCAAAATTGGAAGATAGGTAATTTGCAATTTTGCTTAAAAAAATGTTAAATTTTTCTGCTCAAAAACGCAGCACATTCACGAAGCAGATCCTTTGAATTTTTGTCAGATTATAGATTCTGTCGCGACAATTCGATAGAGACGTGTAGCATTGACTAAGAATGATTAGGTATGAATTGTACGAAACACATTTGGATAATTCCATTTCCGAGTGAATCTCGATTTATCTGACGATTTGTATATAACGTTCGAGATGTAAACTTCACGGTAAGAGAATAATTTTTTAAATTTACGTAGATACGAACAAAGCATGTTATAATCGAAACATATAGCTCGCTATTTTGAGAGTTATACGATTCAATGTCCTCGAGTGAATTAATTTTAACTATGCTGGTTTTGAAATATCGATTTTATGTCATAATCTATCAGTTATTGCTTTTGAAAATGTTTAAATCCTTATAACAATTGAATTTTCCAATTCAATTTTCTTATGTGTGCGTTAAATAAGAGAATTGCACTTGAATCGATCAATTTAATAAAACTGTGAGTTCATAATGTCCATCAATTAAAATAAATTTGTGCTAAAAATGTGTTTTCTAAAAATTTAAATTCCATGAAAACAATGAAAACAATATAGCACTATTTTAACATCTATGCGATATGATTAACTATCGTTTGAAGACAATCTTTATCTCACAAATTATGTTATTGCTATTGTTATTTCCAAAATGACTTTAATTCCTGGACTTGCAGCGTTCTTAAAGGGACCGATTCACATACTTATAGAAAATTCGATTTTTCATTGTAGATTGATTATTATGAGTATCTTCAATTTTTTATATCGATTAAAATTGTCTGTCGTAGCATTTTTGAGAGATGCTGTTGCGCAAAATCGCGACTATGGCGAGATTTTAATGATAATTTTAATGATAACTTAAAAATCTTCGGTCGTTTTTACAATAGTCCGAGAAGCCCATTTTTCACTTTATTTTACGTAACGAAAGTTACATCTCGGCCTCTCTCGGTCGCGCCAAAGAGCGCAAGTTTACATTATGTGAATTTTAGGATAATTATTAGGTGACAATTCATCGATCGAGCGAACCGATGGCGAAAAGGACCTGTTGACGGCTTTTCGCGCGCGAGAGCACGACGTATCGATATTGTAAGTAAATAATTATTCGGTATCTCTCGCTTATATAAATTATCACAATTATCATCGGCGAATCGAGCTTTGCGAATGTATACGATTATAAAAATTAGTCGAAGTTTTTCATGTCTCTCTAGCGAGGACCTAGTGTTAATGTGACACGATTTAACCATCATAGTCCTAAGGATCGATAGACAGAATTGATGTGTTACGAGACTTTGAGAAATATTATTTCCACAGATTAGAATTAGAGAATTTGTCGTTTGAAGCGTTTTTGCACGTTGGTACGGCGTTACAAATTGCTACAGTGATAAAAGGAAAGGATGCACGAATTTACAACTGTATTATCCGTTCGTATATTGTAACGGAAACTCTTATACGAATCTCTCCTTGGGTCTATGAAAGTTTCAAAAGAGCTGATTGTGTATTTATAATGCATTTTTCGATAAAGATACGTCTTGCTCGCTTTAAATCGTCCGCTTTCCCGGCGAGAGCTTTGCCAAGTCGTTGGTAGAGATGCTCTCGGCCTCAAGGGCGCGTGATTTCATTGCGCTCACGCATTTCAACAATTGTAGACTCGACACAAAGTAGATTGCGAATGCCACAAACTTCACGGATTATTGAGAAGAGAATCTCGAAAAAATCAAAGTTATTTCACCAATAATGCTTTACCCGCGACATTTTTTTAAATACGATATATCTACGTTTTTTAATAATATCTTTTGAAAAATATAACAGGATTAATTCAATATATATATATATATATATATATATGAGTAATGTTTATATATGCGCATTATTTTGTGAATGTTTTAATATACAAATTCAATTATAATACTCTTATCCTATTATGCCATTAATTGGCACTTGCAGGATTATTTGTGTCGAGCCATATTTTGGAAAGCATTTACGTCGTGCCAATAACTTTTTCGGATTTTTAATCATTGTTTTATAAGAATTCCGTGCCGAAAGCGCCGCTTTTATAGCGAGATTAGGAACAAAAGAACGTTTACCGATTTTTTTCGGCAGCGTATATTATATCTCTATATATATTGCGAGTGTAAGTACATGCTCATCAAAATGCATCCTCATTTATTAAATTAAACCGTATTGTGTAAAAACTTTTCTAGAGTATTAGCTCGCAGTGAGCTTTAGTTTAATGCTTTAGAAAGTGTCCTCGGTAGTAGTTTTTATTTAATCTGTGAACTTCTTATTTATGACGAATACTGCAAAAGTATGGGTTTAATAAATACTTATAAAAATATATTGTGGCTTGTTAATGCGAACCTTATCACTTTACCTGCCTTATTATTGCCCGCTCTTATTATCCTTCTATAAGTATAGATTTAGAAATGAATCGATATTTTGATGTCTTTTTCTCTGTTTACCTTTTATTATTTTCTATAATAAATAAAATTTTAATATATGTTATATGTCGCGGCAAAATTATCTTATTTAAAATGTCAAATTCTTAAGAATTCTGAGAGTTCTTGAAACAGAATCTTAATAAATATCCTGTTGGAACTAGTGAGTGGTGTCTTCCTCGTTCAATTTTATACACGACAGTATAGTCCACGAAATGGAATCCGTGAATAGTAAATAGGCAAAAAATTTCGACACGTTTCGCAATTTGTTGGTATCGAGGCGATGTATCGTATGATAAGAATCTTTGAAGATTTGCTCGAACGGTGTTACATAAGTCTTATTGATGGTGCAAAATCGACCAGCTAAAAGTCTAAAGAACTTCTCGTATATTCGCATCTCCGCGCAGCAGTCCAAGAACATGTGGCATAATTCGATTTCCTGTCCGAGTTTCAATCGCATTTTTATTAATTTATGGGTGCTTTCTTCGAAATCTAATGAAGACTGTATCGTCAAATATATAGCTTGACGAAGCGCGTTCAAATTTGTTTCTGTATTATCAAATATTATATCTTTCTTTAATTCGACTTGTTCCGCGTTGCTCTCTTTGTCGGAATTCTCATCTTTTCTATTCTCATATCATTGTCTTTGAACCAACGGGTCAACGGGCGAACTCCGACGGGTTAGCGCCCTCATCTAAACGTAACTAAAAATGTCGATATACCGACATTTTTAGTTCCGCCATTATCAACATAATTATTTCAAACATGCATAATAGAAAACGCAATCTTTTGCATTGTGTTCCATATATTGAAATGAGACAATATCACAATATATTTTTACTGCTTTATACACAATAATTAATTGATAAATTACCAAACCTATACCTTTAATTCATGCGTGAGAGAGTAATATACATGTACGCACTAACATCATCGCAATTTCTAATATCTTCTAATTTTAATCGCATTTCTTTCCTTCTTGTTTATCTTTCTTCTTTGCTGAAATTTCATCCTCTGATGATGATGAAGAAGAATCCGTTGTTGTAGAACTTGAAAAGATGATGAAGTGGAATCATCGGAACTAGAGAGTTCATCCTCTTGAGCGTTTCATGCTGGTACGATAGTTAGCTTTGAACAGGATTTTAAGTGTTCTCTTAAATCATCAGTCAAAGCACCCAAACCAATTGAAGTAAAAAAGTTAATTGCAAAACGCGTATTTTTCGGATCATCTCTAAGAAATAATCCTTTCAACACTTCTTGTAGTGTCGTATCCTTGATTCATTTATTCAGTCTTCCCAGACCCATATATTCTGATTATTACTTCACAGGTCAGCATTATCTTGTAATTTTTGTGTCGTTTATAATATATATTTAAATAATCCACTGCGCATATAATGAATTCATTTAGTTATGTTGAATAAAAATTCTATCAATGGTTTATTGACATTTTTCGCAATTTATATACATTTCCACCATGCCAAGCAGCATGCTCACATTATCTTTTTACAGATAATTATACACATTATAATAGTATTTTATATATTTGTGTGTGTCGCGTATTTTAATATATTATTTAATATATTTACTCAAACTCACACACGTATTCTACAAAGTAATATCAGTACAATGTTAGAAAACGACATAGAAACAGTTTTAATCGGTAAAATTAAAATATCACATGATTATATTTTAATATTCATTATTCCTTATTACTTATCCTTATCTAATTCTAAAAAATTAAGGTATGATAAAATAATTTTCACCTAAGTAAAGAAAAGCATTAATTATTTTGAAAAAATGCAATGTTTTTTTATAAAAGAAAATAATAAATGTATTAGTTTTTTTATTTTTATAACATTTCACAAAAAACAATTAATATTGCTTCTATGTCGTCATCTTATAAAATAAGTATTCAGCCGCAACGAAAATAATATATTATTTTAAGAATCATGTGCTCCTAATCATTTTCGCACATAGATAACATCTGTAAATGTTCCAATGATTTAAACGATTTTTAAACAAAAATGTATAACAGACATTGCGGCAATATTAATTTTCATTAATTTGCAAAAAAAGTACATATCATGAAAAATAGCATTTAGAAATAAATCTTCCAAATAATTCTGTATATCTCTGTAATGCCAAAAGTATGTATAAATAACTACAATAAACATAAAATCGATATCGAAAACAATATAATAATAGTAGTATAGTATTAAAATACTATCGCGTGCAATAATTTATAGAATATCACCGCTCCATTAATAAATGAAAATTACGAAAATTAATTATGATCGTACAATAAATATTTGCACAGACGATAAATACTTCATTTGCACAGACGATAAATAATTCAAGAAACTCCCATTAGCGGAGTGTTTGAACATCCTTAATAAGTCTTTATCAAAACTTACAAGAGTTTTATTATATAACAATTTGTGCAATCCAAGCATAATGACATTACTCGATTTTCTTCGATATTACACGAAGTTCTTCGTAGATGTTGCACGCGAAAGTACGTTGTAGTGTGGCTTGAGCGCAAAAATATCGCGATAACCGGATACGTTGTATTATATTATAGGAGGAAAGAAAACGCATTTCTCCAAAATGTCCGTATTTTATATCCGGACTCCTATTATCACGATTCGGTTCTGATTTCGTTTATTTTATGAACTGAAGCTATCGATTCCGCTGAGCGAGATCGAACTCCTCTATACAAGACGAGAAGACAATAATCTCAGCATCCTACAAGGACCACTAATTCTGCTTGCGACTCGCGGCGCAAGCGATGACAAGAATCAACTTTGGCGAACTATGAAGTTTGTGTGTGCATATATATGTGTATGCGTGTGAAATAAATTAATACCTCTGCTGCGCACAGTAGTAATATTAGTAGAGCAAAGATCGCCGCGACGACGATTCCCGTTGCGCTATTTCGATCTAAAAGTGCGATCATTTAAACAGTGTTGAGAATCGTGCGCAGACCAAAATTCAGTGGCGCTCAATAAAAATTCATTCTAAGGGGATGGATTCTAATATTCTATTTATAGAATATTTAATAGGAACGAATCGCTGGTGGAACTGTCGCGCATTCCTGTTGGTTGAGCGTAACATCGATCACCGGTCTGTAGTCGAGAGACACCTTAAATGTGAATAAAACAAAAAAAAATAAGATATAAAATTTAAAGTATTACGATATAGAATAATATAATAAAAATTTGATTATTCATTATAAAAAGTTTGATTATTTATTATAAATATTGTGTAAATATAAATTAAAAGAATTTGCGGTAATAATGATTATTTACAGATAAAATAATTTCTAAATCTCAATAACTGCATGTTCAATTTATGAATAAACGTAAAAAATACCTCTCCCGTTTTCAGATTGATTTTTGATAGCGTGTGTTTTCTCCAATGCTGATCAAACGGCTTCGGCTGCTGGTTCTCAATCGGTTTACTGTAATCGTACTCGTCAATTCTGTCCTTGTAATCTTCGCGAGCATGCGCGCCGCGACTCTCCTTTCTGTTCTCTGCCCCTGCAATGGTCTGCATCGCGTTGACCATGAGATTTTGTAGTTCTAACGTCTCTATCAGATCAGAATTCCATATTAAAGACCTGTCTGCGACCTTCAGTTCATCGAGTTTCTTGTAGAGATCGACCATCTTTCGATAACCTGAAAGAATTCCATAATGATGGTACGCAATGTTCGTAAATCAAGCGTGTAGTTGTGTGCATATATTATGTGCAACATAAGCGCGTGTAACGTTTGCGGTGTTTTTCTTACCTTCCTGCAAGGTCTGGGCTTCTCTAAATACCGCCGCGTGTGTCTGCATAGTTTTCTGCATGGTCAGCCGCAATTCCGCAGTGGATATGGAGCCGTTAGCGTTTCTGACCCAATCTAAGTTAGCTACCGTCTCTTCACCCGCATTCTAAAATACATATAAGATATAATTTGTTATGTACTATTCGTCTTACAATTAAAAATTAAACATAACTTATATAAAACGCTTACAACTTATAAAAAAAAAAATTCAAAATAATAGTACAACTCACAGGCTTGAGAGATCCAATCGTCTCGCCAGGGTTATTCTCCTGGGCAATAGTTTTAGCGCAAGCACGTCCAAATACGACTAAATCCAACAGAGAATTGGCGCCTAGTCGATTGGCGCCGTGAACAGATGCACAACCTGCCTCACCGCATGCGTACAATCCGGGCACTACTTTATCCTCATTGTTTTCCCTGGTTAACACCTGACCTTTGTAGTTTGTCGGTACACCTCCTGCAATTTTGAGTATTACATTACAAACTAATCTTAACATATTTCATAAAAGTTGTAAAAATTACCCTAAATAACGTAATTTGCATCAATCTTGTAAAAGAATTAAATTCTTATGTTTTGTTTGATAGTTGCAGTTCAGAATATTTTCTTGCTAAGAGAAAGCTTAATCGTGATATTTCCAATGTTGGCGTCATCGCAAACAATGTCAAGATTCTTCGATGATTTCAAAGATTGGAGTCATCATATATTAATGTAGAGGAAAATTTATCGCATGCTTTAACCAAATTCTACGTTTTGTTATAAAGACAAAATTAAATTTATTATTCTTTTTCATTAATCCATTAATTTTCGCAAATATATAACATTAATATATATGTATATATGTAATCTATGCACAGATAATATTTTTCTCGACTCTTTTTTTTTAAATACTAACATAATAAAATATAATTAAGATCACCCGATTATTAATTAAAACTACCCCTTTTTATAATTAAAACTTATCCTGAAAAGAAATTAATTAAACTTACCCATATTATAATGGACGGTGGGTAAGACGGGGATAGGTTCCCGAGTCACGTCGACACCAGCGAATATCATTGCCGTCTCCGAAATTCCCGGCAATCGAGCGGCCAGCTGTTCAGCCGGCAGGTGGTGTAGCTGTAAGTAAATGTGATCCTTCTCCGGTCCGACGCCTCTAAGCGAAGAAAAAGAGACTATATTTACCACGAATATTTCCGAACATACGATGTAAGCTCACTGATGGATGATGACTTACCTGCCCTCTCTAATCTCCATTGTCATAGATCTAGACACCACATCTCGCGATGCCAGATCTTTTGCTACCGGTGCGTAACGTTCCATGAATCTTTCGCCTTCACTGTTTATTAGATAACCGCCTTCGCCGCGGCTACCTTCCGTGATCAGACATCCGGCGCCATAGATACCTGAAAATGAATATAATTTTTATTGAATGATTATTTGGACATTAAAGAACTACTATTAATTTTACCGCAATCTTATCGTATGCAAAATGTTCCGAGATAATCGCTCTTGAATATTGAAAATTTTTAAAATGTGAAATTTATTTTATTAAGAATATATATATTTTTTTAAATTCTCAATATTTAATTTCTTATTTAATTTCTTATTGTCATCATTATCGTCATTTTTAAAAATTGCCAAGTTATCTCATTATTTGAAAATATTTCAAAAAAATGCGTTAGAAAGAGAACGATATGATTCTGATGCAATGACTAAAATACCTGTGGGATGAAATTGTACAAATTCAAGATCCTGGTTGGGTAGATTGGCCCTGGAGACCATGGCAGTGCCATCGCCGGTACAGGTATGCGCGGACGTACAGGAGAAGTAGGCGCGTCCGTAGCCACCGGTGGCGAGTACCGTATTTTTGGCGTGAAACCGATGCAACGTTCCGTCTTCGAGACAGAGCGCAATCACACCGCGACATTCGCCGTCCTCCATCAGCAGGTCGAGTGCGAAGTATTCGACGAAGTAGTTGCAGTCGTAACTCAGTGATTGGCCGTAGAGCGTGTGCAGCAAGGAATGACCGGTTCTGTCGGCTACGCAACAACATCGGTGAGCCTGTCCGCCCTTGCCGAACTTGAGTGATTGACCGCCAAACGCACGTTGATAAATCTTGCCTGATAAAAAAAATGACAAGATTCAAAGTTAAAATCATTTTTTTTATTGATATTAATATAATAGATAAAATACTGAAGTTTCCTCCCTATTTTTTTGTAGATATTTAAAAAATATGGATTTTATTAAATATGTTAAAAATGATGAATGTTGGCAAAGATAAATTCTATGCACAAGAGTGTGTGATGATAAGCAGCAATCTTCAACTGCATGGCAACCAAATGATGAAATTTGTTATTTTCATAAAATTCGCCTTTTATTTTCTCGTTTGCAGGGACAAATTCTTGCTTGTTACAATTCTTACCAATAAGTAAGAATGCATAAGTGCATAAGTAAATATCGGTAGGGCAAGTACACCTTTCGAAATCATTTAAATTATGGAGGATGACAACAGAAGAGAAGAAAATAACAAAATAACAGGAGACATAGAAAACGATGGAACTGCAGGACCAGAAGAAAAAGGTTCTGGTAATCAGTATCAGCTGATACCAAAATCTCCCTCCAACCGTAAATCCACGCGAAACGAGTGAGTTACATCAACAACTGTGATTTGTGTAATTAAATTAGATTATGCGACAGATAAATATGTCCAAAAGCCATTCTAAAAACTGCATTTTTTAAAATGATTATATTATATTAAATTTACATTATTTTGAGAATATTACATTATTATACTATATTAAGAAAATATCCAATACTATCAAATTTTTTAAAAATCCAGTTTTTCTCAAACATTATTTTATTCATATTATTTTTGCTTTCTCATAGAGGAAGCTTTGTTTTCGTGACAAAATTTTTTTTCGAGTTTTCTATGCCAATGTGTTTAGAATGTTCCAAAACGTCGAAAAATCATATTCCTAAAAAATGTCTGTATGTATGTGTGTGTGCGCGTGTGTGTGTATGTGTGTATGTATGTATGTACGCGATATTTTGCACAACCTCTAACTTCCGCAATTTTTGAGATACCGTGTTAATTTTTTTTTACATGGATAGAGTATCATTCAAAGATGGTTGATATTGAATTTGGTGAGAATCGATGAAAAGGTTCATTTTTTATAAAATTTTTAATTTTTTGAGAAATGTCTGTATACATTGTAACTTTCGCAAATTTTGAGATATCAGGTTAAATTTTTTTAGATGGATAAAATATTATTAAAGGATAGTTACTACTGAATTTGATGAGTATCGATGAAAGGGTTTATTTTTTATAAAATTTTAAATTTTTTGAGAAATGTCTGTACAGGCTGTAACTTTCAGAAAATTTGAGATATAGGATTAAATTTTTTTACATGAATAGAGTATTATTAAAGGATGTTTGATATTGAATTTAGTGAGGATCGGTGAAAGAAATCATTTTAATTTTTATTTCGCTCACAAAGCTTCCTCTATGAGGAAGCAAAAAATGTTTGTTTTTGCGCGAGAAACGCGCAAGTGATCGTCTCTTACAATTTTATTGTTAGTACGATTATCTTGTCGACGCATTAACAACAGTGATAGCCGGTGGTACGTCGGTACCAACGTAACCCGTACAGCGGCAGTGGTCATTGTCAAGGCCGCCTTGCGTATCTTGCATAATGTGTATCTCGTACTTCGCATACAAATACAAATTGCCTCGTCGACCACGCAAACAGCATAATGAACAGCACAAAATTTACTTACAATTTATCATTTGATTTTTCGTCCGCGTTTTAATTCACAATGGAAGTATGCATATCTATAAATCTTCATAATTTGTCATATAATAATGCAACACAATAATTCTCGTGTAATTTGACATCTGCGTAATTCAATGCAGACCGTGACGCTATTCACACGTTTTTCCGTCGTCATTTGACCATTTAACGTAAAGAAATGATGATTAACAGACTTTATAATTTCCTTTATTCTTCGTATTGTATTATTCAAGATTAGAATTTATTTTTAATTAAAATGTTTATTTAAAATTGAAATTGTTTATTTATGTCAAACAACAACGGAAGAAGGTATATATAGCATTGATGGTTGTTTTAATCCATAATTATATCATTCAAAAGTGTTTGTCTACATTAAATTTGGTATTGAATTTGGTGAGTATCGATGAAAGGGTTTATTTTTTATAAAATTTTGAATTTTTTGAAAAATGTCTTTACACGCTGTAACTTTCAGAAAATTTGAGATATTGTATTAAATTTTTTTACATGAATAGAGTATTATTAAAGGATGTTTGATGTTGAATTTAGTGAGGATCGGTGAAAGAAATTATTTTAATTTTTATTTCGCTCACAAAGCTTTCTCTATGAGGAAGCAAAAATTGAAAAATCCGCATGCTTAAAGCAGCTTAAGCATTGTAAGATAAAATGATGAGGAAGCAATGTGCAAGTTTTTAATTTGCACAACTCTACTTGTTTTCCTGCATAATCTAATTACTATTATTTTCCTTTTATAATAATCATATGATTGTATAATTAAACACAGATGATTTGCATTTCGCTTCCAGGCAATACGACAGAAGGTCATGTCGCTCGCGATCAAGATCGTGTAGTAAGCCTTCACGGAGAAAGCAATGGAGAAGCGCGAATGCCTTTCTTAACTTTATGCAAGATTTTAGGCAGGTAACGATAATTGGAAAAATTACAGAATAACATACGCGAATATTATAAGTAAGGAATTACTGTCAAATTATAGGATTATAATAAAGTTAAGAGCAGAGATCTGTTTCGACTCGGAGGACAGAAGTGGCGACAAATGTCATCCACAGAAAAGATGCCTTACGTGGAAGCGGCTAAGGTAGCGCAGCAACAATCGCAGCAAAATAATAAGAATGAACAGCAAACTAAGCCCGATAGCGGCGAAATCTCGAAAAAATCGGACAATAACCAGAGAAAAAAAGAACGAGAGGTTTATTTGTTCAATTACCATCTTTTTCATATAACAAAATTACATCACATCATTACGTTACTATATTCAGTGAATAATATGTTAAAAAATATATAAAGCAAAAATTCAATATTTATATGTCATGAGAAAGATATACAAAATTAGAGAGACTTCGATTATTCTTATAATATTTTGATGCTATACAAGTTCCAGAAAAGAAAAGAGAGAAAGCGTTCCAGAAGCAAGACGGACGATTCTGACGCGGAATCAGATTCCGCAACCTCGGGGACAGGCGCGACAATGACAAGCGAGGATGTCTCCGATCTGAGTTCTTAGATTAAACTGTATCGCAGTATTCAACAAGAATATCAAGAAATATGTACACAATTCAGTTTATTTTGATTACGTGTCCTAAAATTTGGTCGTACTATTCTGAAACTCGAATAAAGTTTAAGACCACATCAAATAGCTTTAATATTCGATTTTTTCTTTTCACCTACTCTCTATATTTTCTTGCAACATTATCTATTTTCTATATATATATATATATATATATACACAGGATGTCTCACAATTTTTTAATAGCATTCTAGAGGCAAAATGGAGTAAAAAATCCTATTGCATAAAATTCGCGCACTCAAGCTCGTAACTACATTTATATATGTACCGATCTATCATCTGTTATTGCTGACAGATAAAATAAATAAATTGATTTCCACAAAACTTTTCCGCGCCATCAAAACAAAAATAAAAATCGTTTTTTAAACATGTAAAAATATTAAATTTATATTTCTATTTAAATATAATAATTAACAACCAATTAAATTTTATCTCTATTTTATCTCTAGAATACATTATTGAAGTATTGTACGGAGATTGTGAGACATTCTGTATATGCTATTATATTAATTCTATTATAATTACATGTTATAAAATCTTTTTAATCTTCTCAAAATTATTCTTTTTTTTTTCTTTTTACTGTCTCAATTACCGTCACTAGTTCGACTGAAAGGCATGCCGCAGTTCTCCAGCTCGATGACGGCATTGGGGGCCTCGCGGGTCATGTAATGAATAGCGTCCTGATCGCCCAACCAGTCCGAGCCCTTGACGGTATCGTACATATGCCACTGCCAGTTGTCATCCTCCATGTTGCCCAGAGCGGCGTTGATGCCGCCCTGGGCGGCTACTGTGTGCGATCTCGTGGGAAACAGTTTGGTGACCACCGCTGTCTTGAAACCCTCGGCCACCAGGCCGTAGGCCGCGCGAAGACCGGCACCGCCAGCTCCTACCACGACCGCATCATACGTGTGATCCACTAACGGGTACTGTTTGGAGATCGCGTCGGAGATCTTGGCCGCTCGTCCGTCCGGCGTGTGATGCAGCTTCCGGTTGCCGAGTAGCGGCAGTCCTAGCTTGTTCTGCGAAGCAGAAGAAGAGATAGAGAGAACGAGAAAATTATATATAATTAACAATGACATTGTAATATACTAATAATAAAATATTTTTTAATATTATTTCATATATATTTTATATCAAACTAACCACTATGATTTTATAGTTTCAACTTATAAAATTATATAACAATTTTTTTTTATATATATATACGTGCATAATGAAAAATGTACAAATTTAGTTGATAAAGAAAAGCAAATAATCAAAAGACCTAAGGTTCTAACATTTGACAAGATAGAGGGAAAATAATACAGAAATTTACACTCTTTATGGTTTTCTGCTTTATGGATTTAATACATGTGATTGTTGAAGAAATACTAATTATTTCCTTTAGGAATTATGTAAGACACGTTATTTAAGTTAATGAGTCACGAACGCGCAGCTGCGATCGCGTGTGCACATATGTGATTGTTATGTTCGTTCAATTTGCGCGACATGAACGCGAGTATGAGATTCGTTACTTACAAAATAAAATTTTATGTGCCATTAGTTTATAAATACTATTTAAGTGTCACGAAAATATTGCAAAAAAGCAGGTCGCGCAAAAACTTAGAAATCTTTTTTAAGATGCAATAAGTAAATCTGATATAAAAAGCTTACTTAATATAAAAAGAATATCAGTAGATAAAAGAATAGTAATTTTAAAAATGTATGATGTTGAAAAATGAACTCGCGTAACATATAACCTTCCCACAGAAAGTTGATATATGTTCTTGTAATATTCTTATAAAATAATTTTAACGAGCAATTAATTATCCTTACAAATAATGTGAAACTAATGCCTGACTAATTAACTAAGAATTGGTTCAGCCAAGAAAACAACAAATTGCGAAATGAAAATCTTCATTGCTTCGTATAGTAGCATGTCCTATATATTCTATATAGACTTGAAATAATAATACACTGAACATTGTGTCATCCATAGAATAAAAACGTGCTCAATCAACATTAGATTATATTATCGTCCAACGTATTTACGGAAAACACGTCAAATTTCCTTGACATTTATCACATCGGTCAATTTGCATATAGGAATATTCAAAGATAAAATGAATGAACGTTTCTACTCGATCTTAAAATCGTCTAGCAATGCCAATATTTTTCAATGCTTTTTAGGAAAAAAATAATTTAAAATCTTTCTATTATAAAAATATGATTTTCAGTTTAAAACATTTTATTTTGATAAATTTTGAGAATGTAAAAAATTATATATTACAAAAATTTAGTTCCAATTTATTTAAATTTCAACAATTTTAATTTCATTGCAAATTTGAAATAGATTTTCGTTGTTTGAATATTTACGAAAAAATTCAGTATACATATATCCATGTTTTATAGTGCAAACACGTTCAAACCTACAATGATATTACGAAAATTTGTCGCGGTTAAACAGTGTAAGACAGCAGTTTCTTTACATATGTGCATACGTAAATTTTCTTATCTTTTTAATAAAGCTCTCACCGTCTTTGATGTGCTATCAAGCACAATCTTGAAAACAATACATCAGTACTGTTAGCCTATTCCGATAAAATCACGTAGACGATGTTCGATAGACCAACATTGTATATAGTAAATTTTGTATACTTATTTTGATACATAGTTTTTTGTCGGGGAAAATAAATTATAAAGATCTAACAATGAAGATGTAAAAATGCAAAGCTCGTTATCAATTCAAGTGCGACACCGATGAGATTTCGCGAAATATACCCTCACACTTATACATCTGTATATAGTATACACTGAACATCTATATCATATCAGTTTCACACATTAATCTCTTATCTAAAAAAAAAAAAATATTATTTATTTAATTTATAATTCTTGATCAATAAAATAAAACAAAATGAACAAAAATAATTATAATATCAATATAAATAATATTTCTTGTCAAATTATATATAATTGCTTATCAAAAAACTTTGTCACTCTATTCCTTTTAAATTAAAGAGATGCGTAGACAGATGCGTACAAAACTGAAGTATCAAACTGACGAAAACGCTGATGTGAGAGTGCCTAGACTTGGATACACTATATATATGTATATATATATATCGAGTCGCGAGCACCGTTAGATACGAACAGCCCCCGTTGACGTAACACGTAACATATTGTAAGCCAAAGCATATGGAAATATAGATGAATTTATTTTATCCTGCAATGAGCCTTTCAAGATACACAAAACAGTATCGTAAATTCCTCTCTCGCGAAAGAGAGAGAGAGAGAAAGAGGGAGAACTGGAGGGATGCCGCGTGTTTAGTGCGGAACACGCGGCAAGACGGCGCGTTTCCGGGTGCGCGTATTTATTCGCGCGCATCTTACGTAATTGATCCGTGGTGAGATGCATCCACCACCGTCGCCACCACCACGGACGGTGGATAAAAAATTACATAACTAGGTAGAAAATTCGCGAGCCTATCGATAGTGGACTTAACCTGCGTCGCGATCCTAATCCGCGGCGTCACGAGTAATAAGAAACGAAAATTTTTGTAAGATGGCGCGAGGTAACGCCGAGGTTCTAGGCCAAAAGGCTAGGTAACGTGAGGTTCTAGGCCAGGTGTACCGAGAGCGATCCGAACTTCGTAGAGTTTCGTCTCTCGCGGAAAAATAGGGAACCCCTCCTTCTTCTCGCTCGCAAAAATCACGCTTTCCCGCGAGACAATCCGGAATCGAAGACGAAAAGAGCTCTACGATAGCTTCGGTTCTAAACTCTACATTATCCGGCTCTATTGTAACGCAAAGTTCTCACCAACGTCGCCGTTCCGGGCAGATTCCTCGGCAGCAACGACGCCGACAGCTTTAGCAATCCGCTCATCCTGTGTCACTCCTGTCCCGTGTCACGATTTCGGTCAAGATACGCCCCCACTGACAAACCCGCGCGCACGCACCACGCGACTAACCCCTTGTAGAGTGGCGGCGACGAACGACAGTATCCCCGACTAACACGCTACGATCCGCACAGCTCGGCGGCTCGGCACCGACTGACGCCGGAAACCGCGCGCGCGCAGGTCTGCCAACGAGACGCATCCAAAAAAAAAAACCGAAAAGTGTCTGTTCTGGCTGCATTTAAAATGAGAATGCACGCGATCGAGTATATGCATTCTCAATCTCAAATTATCGAGAGGAATCGAATAAATATTCTATTTTCAATTTTCGAATCTGCACGTGCGCGGAATAAAAATGTCTTTGCGCTTGCATTTACAACCGCTTACTAGTCGCTTTTGCTCTACGCATGCGTGATGGGTAACAAATATTAAGTAATGGGAGAACAAGGAAATAATCAACTTTGCAGAATAATTAACTTTAGAGAATATCAGCTGTTTGAGAATAGGGAGTTTTGAATTTAAGAGAATTTGACATAGAAGTAGATATTTGCGGCATTGAAGGAAGAGAGAGACAGGAGAAAAATAAAAAATAGATATTGATATAAAATGTTAATTCTAATTTGTTAATAGGTTTCTGTGTTCTCTTTACTGCAGACTCTTCCGCAAAATGTAATGTCTTTTCAAATTTTGATAAGAAAAAAAAGAGGCAAAAAAACGCCCAATGACATAAAATGGAATAAAATTTACCATTCTTGACTATTCTGCATAATTCGAAGGGCATATATCGTGACGCAATTAAAACGAAAGAGAGCATGAGTGAGTGAGAGAAGCGACAACTTTTAATGCGAACATAAAACCAGATAAAACTCCGAACATCGCATTATTCTTTATACTGACTTGCTCTTGCTTACTGCGTCAAATGAATTTATTGAATTTTTATTTATTATATATTATGTTTACGTTTGTGTCTGTGTGCCAAATGTATTCCCAAATTAACCCGCAAGATACGTATGCAGTTTCTGAAGAGAGAATATTTTTTATTTATTTTCTATTTTATATCCCAATATTTTTTCTAGATATTTATAGATATTCTATGCAAAATGCAATGATATTTATATAAATTTATTAAACGGATATGCGATTAATGCTTAATGCGAACTGACACATCGTCGGATATATTTTTTTGGATTTATGTAAAAACAGATACATATATATATATATATGTATAGTATTACATAAGCTTACTTAGTAGAAAGAAATAAAGTGATTATGAATTATTACCCTCTCTCAGTAAAACAATTTATGTCTTCAATAAATAATTTATTCAACATTTATCATCACAATATCGTAATTGTGTTATCAATGAAAAAAATTATGATTAACGATTATCTCTTATGAAACTAACATACTCAAAGATGCAATAACATTACTCAATTACGCTGAATCATATTTGCTTGCTTTTTTCGCGTAAAAGCAAAAAAAAAGGAAATATCGATCATTATTGTATATAACACTCTTGCATTACTTTTGTATAATTCTTTATCAATTTTTGATGCACAAGAATTTAAAAGAATATTTTTTGAAAACTACCTTAAAAATATAACGCCAATCTCGATTTGCTTTTTCTTCATCGCAATCTAATTGATATACGAGTCGAACGCATTAATTAATTCTGCCACTGAGTCACAGTTAATGTTTATCGCATGCGAGGCGCCGAGAAATGTAGAACGTGCTTAGATTATTCATGAGAAGTAATACATTTTTATAGACAAGATATTTTTCATGAATTTGGTGATGGTTTCTATTCCGTTAATTCACAGATTTTGTGTGCTTGATTTCAAACGTGGCATTAGTGGTAACGAGACAGCCGATTAGATTCATAATCGCGTAATTCTCGTTACATTTCAATTAAACAACTGCTTGCAATTAATCATTTGTCAAGTCAATACGCGCGAACTGCAGGCGGCACATGTTGAGCCTCGCTCTCATCTAGAGTCGTGTCGATAACAGGCCGATAAGAGATGCAAATCTGCAAACAAAGCGTGCTATTAAAAAAGATATCACAACATTTAAAAAATAAAATAAACTTTACAAATAAATTTTGTAAATATTGTTATATATAAAAAATTTTGTCATAATAATTAAAAAAATAGCTACTAATTAATAAAGTTTAATAGAAATTAATAATTATATTTCAATGTCTTATATATCTCAGCTTGTATATTATGTTATATATTATGTATTACAGTGATTTAATTTTAATTTATTACAAATGCCTAATTGATTTTTATAAAGAAAAATTAAATCTGATTTATATAAGAACGTTTCTCAACCAACCGATCCATCTTCCTGAGCCCATGTAAGCGTATGCTTACGCCAGTGTTCCGCGTAAGGTCGTCTCTTTTGTCCTTCGAGCGGTTTTGTGTAGTCATACTCGTCAATTCTCTCCTAGAAATAAAATAAACATTCAAAATTAATGCAGAAAATCAATCTTTCTCGATGTTAATCTATCAAAAATCCGTGAGTATTTCATATTTAAAAATTTGAAATATTATGTACGTACAGTATTATTTATTTGCACATTAATACATAAAATATATTGTTATATATCTATAAATTTATAACATTCTAAATTTTCTGAATTTAATTCTCTTTCTTATACCTTGAAATCTTCTCTGAAATGCGAGCCTCTCGATTCCTTTCGATTCTCGGCCGCGTAGACAGTGTGCATGCAAACGATCATCATGTTTTGTAACTCCAAGGCCTCGACGAGCTCAGTGTTCCAAATGAGGGACTGATCTTGCACCTAAAAAAAATGTTCAAAAACGATCCAGATGTATTTATAGCTCTAGATAAAACCTCTTGTATGTATCATCGTCTTATATTTATATAATGACGCGTTACGCCATCAGCTGAAACATGGCGATGTAATTATCTCAACTTAGCAGACTTGTTAATTATATATTGTATGGAGATTTACAATGCAGTAGTTATTAAATAATTAATATCAGTGTGCAGATTCGTGAACTTGACTCCTTTTTTGAGTTTAAAGTATTTAAAAAATACATTTGTTACATATACATTTATATATATATTTTGTATTAACATCTTTTTGTTCTGTTGTACTTTTTTCAATGAAATTATTCGTTGTTAAATTTATGTTTATATAAATTTTGATTTATTTATATTTTAAATTTCTAAATTTACTAATTAATACTCTCAATAAATAATTTAAAAGTAGTGTATAATCAGCTTACACATAGATCCGGTAAATCGCATGTGAAGAGACGGGTTATTTCCCTGCATCCGCGTTGCAAAATATCGCAAGTCCTAAATACCGAGCAATATCTCTGCATCGTGCGTTGCATCTCGTCGCGCAATTCGATCACAGGAACGCAGCCTTTCGCATAACGGGTCGCATCGAAACGACAAATCGACTGTTCACCAATGTGCTGCATCCAAATCGCTCTTTGATATAAACGTTTATATGCTAATTCTCGTAAAACGCGAATCTTCGTAAACAGCGATTTTAACGCGCAATTTTTTCCCGCGCTTTTAATATATTTTAATGTGAAAAATTTAGTTATTAAAATAATATAAAATATAACATCACACAAATAAAATATTAAGAGTTGTATATGTATCATAAAATATTATTTAAATATAGTAAAAAGATTCTTTAGAGAATTGTCAAAAGACAAAATACAATATTGAGAAGCGCGCTATGACGATATATAGATCGTATTTTATTAAATAATTAAAAGATAATTCTCGATTGAGATAAATGTAGTTGAAGAGTATTTATGGAGAATCTCAAAGGCGCCATAATTTCTTACTGGCGATAGATCTTCGTGACGTTCACCAGGTCTGGCGATACAATCGATTTGATCGGCGATGGCTTTGCCGAAAACCACAAGTTCCAGGAGACTGTTAGCGCCCAGTCGATTAGCGCCGTGAACAGACGCACATGCAGTCTCGCCAGCCGCCCAAAGACCTTCGATCGGTCTGTCCTCCTCGTTTTCTCGTGTTAATACCTGACAACGTATTATTTACGTCGAAATGTAATTACAGCGCGAGTAACAGCCTTAAAACGCCGATAATCGGTTCTCTTCTGTTATCGAAATATATTTATTTAATCCATACAAATAACGAAATGATCATCAAATATTTAACTTACTCTTTTGTTTATAATATAAAAATCAAGTTAAACAATATAACAAGTACAATAATATAAAATATTAAACACAGAAAGAGAAATTGACACGAGTAGTAGCTTTTTGCCAGTTAACTGCGATAATATAATAATAATAAAAATAACGAATGTGTATTCTCTATTGTATTTCTTACTTGCGCACGCCAATTTGTAGGTATCCCGCCCATGTTATAATGCACCGTGGGAATTACGGGGATCGGTTCCTTCGTCACGTCCACTCCGGCGAACACCCAGGCGAGGTGTGAAATTCCAGGCAACTTCTCTTTTAACAGCTTAGCTGGTAGATGATTTAATTGCAAATAAATATGATCTCTCTTTGGCCCAACGCCTCTGTAAAGATATATGCGCCGATGTATTTTTTCCTGGAAATATGCTGCCAACATATACACTAGATTTACATAATGACGCGTAATTAATTGCAATGTAACTAACAATTAATAAAAAGTCAAACGTGATGGACTTTTCTTAAGCAAAACTTTGGTCTAAAAATTTATTCATATAATTAAATTTATTTATTCTAAATTTATTCAAAATAAAAAAAAAAATTATTTTTAAAATTTTATATACATAACTAAGCGTTAAGAGTACTTATATATATTTTTTTATTGTATGATTCAGTGAATGCAATTCACTGAAATTACAAAATTTTGATTAATATAAATCTTTTGAATCAATATATTAGCTATTAATAATAACTTAAAACAGAGCATCCTTAAGTTTGCTATGTTTGTTTTATGACTTTTATTGCACTAATTTAAATTGAGAAAAAATACGAATTAAACTACAAAAAATTGTTCCAACCTTCCCTCCAGTATTTCAACAGTCATAGCTCTCGAGACAACGTCGCGGGAGGCTAAATCCTTAGCTACGGGCGCGTATCTCTCCATAAAGAATTCTCCGTGAGAGTTAACGAGTTTGCCACCTTCTCCTCTGCTACCCTCAGTGATGAGTATACCGCTGCCATAAATGCCTGTAACGCGAGAAAGGTCCGTCGATCATTGGGAAGACAATAAAAAAAATCGTTGGCGGATTTGCAGACAATCTGAGATTACCGGTCGGATGAAACTGGATGAACTCCATGTCCTGCAACGGCAATCCTGCTCGACACGCGATCGCCATACCATCACCGGTACAGGTGTGCGCCGCAGTGCAGGAGAAGTAACATCTTTCGGCACCACCCGTTGCAATCACCTGTAAAGCGATAATGTATATACATTATATAAAATATAAATTATAAAAAAATATAAGTATAAATATAATATATAGTATAATATAATATATATATAAATATGATATAAGTATAAATTATACAAAATAAATATTAATCAAATTATACCGATAAGTGAAAAAGACAATGTTAATTTTATTGTAATTTTGTTAATTGTATTTATTGTAATTTTATTAATTTTTATATTATATAGCCTCTCTCCCAAAATATATAAAATATAAAAAATATATTTACGATATTTAATATATTTCTCTTTCATCGCTTTTCTATATTTTATAAATCAAATAATAACATACAGATATAATAAAGAAAATCTGTAATATATAAATCTTGCCATTTTTTCTTTACCGTATGATGAGCTCTGAATCTATGCAATTGACCGGTCTCCAATTCCCACGCAAGGATCCCCTTGCAACATCGGCCGTACATGAGCAGATCGAGAGCGAAATACTCGATGAAATAGTGCACCTCGTAGCGAAGACTCTGCCCGTAAAGGGTGTGAAGTACCGCATGGCCGGTTCGATCAGCGACGGCGCAGGTTCGCCTAGCTTGTCCACCTTGGCCGAATTTTAACGACTGGCCGCCGAAAGCGCGTTGATAGATCTTACCATCTTCTGTACGACTAAAGGGACAACCTACGAATTTAACGATTTTGTTGTTTAATATCATATAAATTGATTCTAAATTATAATTATTAAATTTTGTCTTTATTTTTTCTCTTCATAAGTATTCTTCGTAGAATAATTATATTTATGTCGATACTTTATTATTGCGTTTATACCGTAATTTTCGAGCTCGAAGACCGCTCGAGGCGCTTCCCTTGCGAGTAAATGTATAGCATCCTGATCACCCAGCCAGTCGGATCCCTTCACGGTATCATACATGTGGTAGAGCCAATTGTCCTCTTTCTCCTCGGCGATAGCGGCATTGATACCACCCTGAGCGGCGACGGTATGCGACCTGGTCGGGAATAGTTTCGATATTACCGCTACACGATATCCCTTAATGCCGAGACCGAAGGCCGCTCTTAATCCTGCGCCTCCTGCTCCTACTATCACTACGTCGTAGCAATGATCTATCAGAGGATAGTTCTGCAAATTAGTATACAGATAAATTAGTAACTAAATATATTAATTGAAGAATGCAGAGTAGCCCAAATCGCATTATTAAAATATAATTCATTGTATTAAGAAAAATCTTTAAACAAAATTAAAAAATAGAGAAAAAATGTAAGATTAACTTTATAAATATTTTTGCATATATATATAAACTTATATATTATAAATACTTAAAAATATAAAAATAAATGAAATTATTTATATTTATAATATATAATCATATTAGATGAGAAGGAAATATTACGGACAAAAATATTTGTGTAGTTGTGTGATTTTCACATACTTTTCTGTTTAATTTATAGGGATATTTAATTATTAAGAACAATTATATACACTAATTTTAATATAAATTAATATAAATTTTAATAACATTAATAAAATATATGTTTAAATGCTTTTACACTGCTGCTGTTGTCCACACCGCACTTTGCCTTTTCCGCTGGACTAACATTGACATGAAAGCTTCGCAAATTTCTGATCGTCGCATGAGATTGTCTCGGAAATTTCTGGAAAAAATTAATATTTACTTTAAATTAAAAATAAAATTCATTTAATATTATTGGTGCCTTACAAATATTCCACGTGATTGTATTAGTCGACTGACCAACCGATGCAACATCCTTGCAAATATTTTCTAGGTTCGGATGCGCTTTAACAACTGTCATGATTAATAAAGGCTCTTTCAGCTTCTGCTCTCATTTGTCAAAATAATAAAACAAATGAGAAAAATATTTAAATATCTGTAAAATATTTTCAATGTATATATAACATCATATTTTTACATAAAATCTGTCATTTATATTTGCAATTATTTTTATAAACAATTTCTCTCTTGTTCTGCATACAATTGGAGGAAAAAGTGGAGATTTTATAGAAGTTCTTTTTCAGAGAACTCAAAGACTAAAACTATTAAATTTGTACAAGCATCGATTTATTGCACTTGCAAAAATACAGTTTGAGACGTATACATTATATCGATTGCATACAATTAATTCAACACACATTCTTCCAAATTAGACGATCATGTCAGTTTTGTCAAACGTTTATCTCTCTCGCATTGTTACTCTTTGGTAATTAACTGGTAATTAATTGGTTATACTTTATGAAAACCAGAGAGTCAACGATATCTTTAACAAATTACTCTTATTAGAACTGTTACAAATAATTAGTATGACAATATATAATCGTTATTCAATCTGTTTTCTCACCTTATAATCATAACTAGCGGGGGGAGACATTTTCTGCGCTTTTTCTCGTCTTAAAAAAATAAGATATTTGACGAAATGATAATAAAAAATGAAGAATTGACGAGATTTTCTCAAATTTGTTGTCTTTTTTCTGTAGCAAAAATTTAATCAGAAAGGGATCATCACTTTCTCTTTATTTATCGGGACATACTTTCTGTATATTTTCCGAGATACTCTTTTTATATTAAATTATATTTTTAACATACATGTAATAAATAAAGCAATATATGCTTTTTTACTAAAAAATAAATAAGATCCACTTGATATGGTTGTTAGATCGATTGTGCGTTTTAATGGTGTATACCTTTAATTTAATTGTAATTAATCTTCTTTTTTTCTCATAACAATCGAGAAGTCTATCTTTATTAAGATTAATGGTTCAAACGTATCGCACTTCGTACTTCACATTTATTTTTCCTCGTTAGTTGACTCGTTAATTGAGCGAAGCTGAAACTGGCAACTCATCTAATCACTATCTCCTAATCTTATGCTACGATCAACCTCGTTACATATACGACATGCGGTACAAGAGCTCTGTAAAGGTGAAAGTTTAAGCAAGTTGATAGAAATTTATTTTTGCAGAATTAAACGCGCCTAAGATTCGAAAGTGAAAAGTTATTTCCCTATTTTTATTTAGAAATACATGCAAAATAATTGTATTAAATGCGAAATATCAAAAAAAATTATTTTGATACATTAATTCCGAATAAGTTGAGTCGTATTTCATCGATTTCTGATTATCTCTCACTAGAATTAAAATAAAATAAAAATTAAATACAACAATATTAAAGTTTTCATACATTTATATTTTTATAAATAAATTCCTATCAATTTCTTTTTAATTCTCCTATTTTTAACAGAAAATATACTTCCTGCTTCTCTCTTCATTCGTATAAAAACTTTATCAAAAAGTCGCACTTATGAATTTGTAGAAAAAAGGTCTGTTTCCGCGATCGCTCAGCGACTCTCGATATGTGTGTGTATATATTTGTTTGTGACAAAAAAACTCTCTTATCAAATATATATATATATATATATATATATATATATATATATATATATATATATATATATATATATATATATATATATATATATATATATATATATATATATATATATATATATATATATATATATATATATATATATATATATATATATATATTACTAGACTACACAAATACAGCGAGTAAATCGACGCATCATAGAAAGCAAACTAAAGCAGAGATAAAAAAATTCTTCGGCGGTAAAAATGCTATCTTACAAAATTCATGAAAGATACTTAAAACTCTAAGATTTTTTAAAAGCCGCCTGAATAATATACCATTCTACATACCATCATGATAAGAAAGTTAATCCATATTGTCTCACTATCAAAGAATATTTTCAGAAAACATTTTCAATCTCGAAAAAAAAGATTGTTTCAAAATTGCAAATTAATATACTCTTCTTTCAGAAAATATTTTTGGACCATTCTCACTCTTAAAAATGCTTTCGAAATAAACAATTGTAATATACTCTTTTCTCGAAAGAATATTTTTACGGTGATATCTTTGTTTCACTTCTTAATATCAAGATCGATACAATGGTGATAATACTCGAAGAATGATGATGCGTTTCATAACGCAAGCCTTCTGACGCCGCATTCGCAGCAGAACTTGGCAGTTTCCGGAAATCGCTGACCGCATTCGTGGCAGAATTTGGACAGCTTGCATTTGATCGTCGTCTGAGTCGGTGATGTCTCATTTCTAGGCACGTCCTCATCGAGACGGCCGATCACGTCGTTGGTGCTGCGTCCGTGGTGTGAATATTTGCGATTTAAACTAAAGGGCATACATTGAACTGGATTTTAAGCACGCGCGAATACGAAGAACGCAGATAATAGATGGGCGTGATTAGACTAGCGATGATTAAAAATTACAATTGCTAAATTTTCAAAGTGCAAGCATCAAATTTTTGGAATCTATAAGGAAAAATTATCTTTGTTCCATCAAGTAAGAGAGAGTTTATTATATCAAATATAAGATAAATTTAAGATAAAAAATATGATAAGAAATTACAATTAATAGTTTTTTTTTTTAATTTGTAATAAATTTTATTTTCTTTTACAATCTTTAATTTTTCTAAATTGTTAACTGCTAAATCGATGAAGCTCTAAATCTATCATATGACAAACAACCACTTTAAAATGCAATGCTGAAGACCAACCTGCTGTACGCGGAGTCGTTGCTGAGCTTGCTGTGATCCCGCGGCTTGTAGCTATCAGGTGAAGACAATTCCCCATCACTGATCAGGCTGCCATTCCGCTGCCTATCACCGCCGGAGCTGGATAGGTCGAAGGAGTCATTATTGAGGAAGGATCTTAGATTAAATTCATCCTCCTTGAAGCACGTCATCAGCTCGTCGAACATTGAGTTCGATCGCTTGACGTCTAACTCCGAGGAGGAAATAATTGAGTTGAGGCTTAAGTTGCTGCCGGACAGGGACGAATAGTTGTTATTGCTCTGATTGAGACTCTGATCCGACGACCTTGACAATGACTGATCCTCGGTTATCGTGGAATCCTGGACCTTCCTGATATCGTTCGAGATCTTTCTGACGAAGCCTGAATTGGTTCTGGGCGCGGACGAGACCCGAATCGAGTTGGACCGATCAATCAATGATTTCGTGACCATTGGCGTGACCTTGTCAAAAATCTTGCGTGGTCTGTCGGCGCTGCCGACGACGCCGCGGCGCTCGTCGACGCCCAATGCTTTTGATTTATCGATTATGACTCGCCTGCCCAATTCCTTGACGGGTTTTAGGCTCGCAACATCCGTTATATCCTTACTCCTGAGAACGGGCTTCGAGAGGAAGATCTCGCGCGAGATCGAGTTGGTCTCGGTGGAATCGCTCGAAAAGTCGGATGCAACATCGTCGAACTCGATAGGAGGCTCTATCAGAGACGATCTCTTATGAGAGATAGGATATTTTACAAAGGCGGAGGAATGAGAGAGAGGGTACAGATTGTCGTGAGTTTGTTGGAGTTTGGGGCTCCCCGTCGTGGACTGATCGCTCATGTCCGACAGCAGGTCTTTCATCTGCTGTTCGGCCAACAGAAACGGATCGTAATCCTTGCTCGTGCCGCTGAAATTAAAGTTTGATTAGTGTGATTTCTTTCTTCTTACAAGGAATATTTTTGCATAAAACAGCGATAGACAATCGAATATTGCGATGTGCCTGATAACGAGGTGCGTTTTCGTCTTCTATTAAGCTACACACGTGCGCCAATCAATTTTCCAGACAAACGTAACGAGCAAACGTTCGTGTATAACTCCGACACGTGATACAACGTGATCTAATTTGCTCTAACATAAATTATATATAAAATTATATATAAATTTAGAATCAATTTCTTTGAGTATCTTAGTGAGATGCCAAAAGCTGATGAAAAATAAAAAGATTTTCGTAAAAATAAATAATAAAATATTTTTCATCTTTTAAAACTTGATATAAATTTCATTTTAGCAAAGTTTTAATTCAGATATTATTAAAATATCAAATATTTAATATTTGAAAAGTTATGAAAAATTATATATTCTGCTTTAAGAAATATATCTTCCTTAAGAAGAAATCGATTCTAAATTTTCTGCAACAAAGACTATGTATTATATTTAGTTTTCACCAATCCTAGTGACTCCTAATATAATGCTCTGAATTAACTAGACTAAAGCTGAATCAATAACAAATAAACATTTCAATAAAATTAAAGATAAAATTAGAAATCTGCCATGAATCATTGGTTCCACGTCCTGGAACTTACGTTCTAGCTTTAAGCACAAGATTAAAGTCCGGCCTTCTGCGCACGTAATTGCACCAGGCGGGACGTGTCGTCAGTTCAATTTTCCTACAATATTGTTAAGACATTAACTACATAACTATCGTTCTACCGAAATGTAAAAGTATGATAATAAAAAAGAAAAATTATAGATATGATTATTTTTCACAGTGCAATCAGTAATGTCATACAAATTTTCTATCAATTAAATAGCACTTTATACAAACTTATATTCACTGCAAAATTCTACTGTTTAAACATTAATATCACAATATGATTTATAATCAATTGCACAAAATCAGCATTGCAATTTTTTATACTAATTAAATACTTACTAAATAAAAATATATATGAATTGAATGCTAATATATACATAACTACAGTGCATATAATACATTCCAAGATATTAAGATACGCAAAAAAAAATTTTTTTTGTTTTACTTAGTACTATTTTCCATCTTAATACTATTTTCTATTCTCTATTTCTACCTTCGTTCGATCAACGATGGACTTGGGACTGGAGGGAGGATACGGACTCTGGGATTTCTTTTAACGAACTTGTATCTCGCGGGAATGGAATCCAGATCGATCAACCTATTTCGTGAAATTTTCGAAGCTTTCTCCCAGTACGATCTTTCAAAATCTTCTCTCGTTTCCGCCAAATCGTTCTTTATATCGGGTAGACCTCTAAACACTCTGTTCCGTTTCGGCCGAATTATCTCTATGCTTTCTTGCTCGTAAGCATAATTCGCTTTGGGCCGCCTAATGTTCTCAAGATCTATAAATTCGATAGAGGATATCAAGGAATCGGTGCTGCCGCGAAGACGATTCATGCTTTCTCTGATTTTGTGTTTTATTTTGACGGAATGTACTGGACGCTCTTTTGCCGCTCTTCCAGGCGAGTCGGGAACGCCTTTTGAAAAATTTACGCTCGCTTTTAGAAAAGTTTCATCGCCCCGATACTGCGTCTCGACATTGTCCTTCAACGTGACTGATGACATTAAATCATCAGAGCCTCGCATGTTATGTTTTCCGACAAACACGATATTATCGCCGCCATAATTAAATTCTTCGTTGTCTATGTTTCTCTTGCGCAAACCTTCGCTTGTCGTAATTTCCATTTGAATAATCGAGCGGCTTGATTTATTATTCGATTGTCTATCTATATCTGCATTAAAATCTGTTTTCCTATTTTTCAAGCAATCCTCAATATTCTCAAAATTATCGGAATCGAAGAATTGTTCTTGGCGTTGTTTGTTAACTTTAACTTGTAGAGATATATTACTTATGCATGCATTTGACTCATTAGCAAGTATTTCCGAATTTTGTGAAAGCAATATTTCAGAGTTTAATTCTTTTAAATTTCTCTCAGAGTCCTTATTATAGAGAAAAATTAAACCATTCTCGCATATTTCGTCATTTATTTCAATTTCTTCAGCATTCTTTATAGAATCTTTTTCTAGACTAATAGCTCGACTGGAAACAGTAGATGATGATACTTTGATATTTTCTGTTAGATCTAATGAATTGGAACATATTATATTACTTTGACATGGTAGCATTTCATCTTCAGGATCAGCTTGGTTACTACTGTTTAAAAACATCATATTATTTATATCAGATTGATTGCATATGAAAGCTGAAGCGTTTTCCTGTAACTTTAGTAAATTGCAACATGTATCACTTTCGTATTGTAACATTTTATTTTTAAGGTTTAAATCATCTTCAGTATAATTATTAATAAAGATGTCTGAAAATGTTAGACTATTTTTATTGTTGGTATGAAGCGTTGGATCTTCATGTTTCAACAAAGAAGTTTCAAAGAAATTTTGAAGAAGATTCAATATAAAATCATTATTACTGTCAATGGAACTCACCTTCGATTTATTAAAAGATTCCTTCGCATCCTGCGAAAATTGAATATGTGTATCAAAATCCGACGAATTTTGCTCGTTTTCTTCCATTACAGTATATTTAATATTTTCAATAATTCCATTATCTATCGTTATCTGCTTATCTTTTTTATCTTCTTTATTCACACTTAATTTATCGAATTCTGCAATGTCTATGTCATCCATTCTCTGAAAATCTCTTTTATCTTTGATATTTACTTCTAGTTTCTTAACATCGCAACCTGCAATTTTATCCTCTTCATTGATCGGTCTTCGATTATCTTTATTTCCAATATCGATATTTAATTTTTTTATTTTGTGTTCTATCATTTCAACCTCTTTATCGTTCACTGTCCAGTTATCTTTTCTATTTTCACTATCTGTTTTCAATTTTTCTACTTTATGCTCCATTACTTTGGCCTCAGTATCTTCTTTATTTTCAATACTCATTTTTAACTCTTGTTTCGCAGTTCTAATTTCTTTGTCACTCGCTATAGTTTTTTTGTCCGATTTTGTTTTATTAATTTCGTTTTCGTTTTCTATATCCTTGAAGTAAAACTCTACACGAGGACTGTGTTTAATAGGCTTCCATTTACTGTGAAGAATCTCCGGTGGTTCATTATATATATCCTCCGAGTCTTTTATCAAGTAAGTCTGATTCAGATTCTGAATTCCATTTAACCATATGAGCTTGTCATTCCTCGGTTTATCAACCTCGCTGCCTTTTAATTCGTCGTTGGCTTGTGTAAAATCGTTCTTCGTGATCAACAATTCTTTTTCGGTTCTATCTTCTTTTTCAATCGTATTGATTTCGTCTTCTTGATCACATCGTCGGTCGAGATCGAGCAGCGGAAACTCTTGTGAGGAATTATAACTGACGACAGAATCGTTACACTGAAGATTGTTCTTCTTGTGACTGATCTGCTTCCACGTCACTAATTGATCGTCCTTTTGCATATCCGTGTGTATCTTATAAGGCTGCACAATCATGCCTAGAGTCTTATCGTTCACAGCGATATCATTGATCGTCGGATGGCCTTGACTCCTTGCAGAAACAATATTCTTTTGTGTTTTGACAGAACAGATTTCTCGATTTCTCGTTTCGTCGTTTGGAATGCGTTGAGAGATTTTTTCGTTTCGATCAGATTGTTTCCTAAACGAGATGGTAGGCGACGTGATCTCGTTGAAGGAAACTGAGTCTGAATTGATTCTGGATTTTGTAGAAGGTACAGGAAATTGGAGAGGACGACGGGAGGATATAACGAAATGAGAAGATTGGCAGGATGTCGATGTCAATATGTCATGATCTTCCGCTGGCCTGAGGAGAAGGAAGGACTAGGATCAAGGATGTGCGCCTGATAATCATCAGGAGAAGGTCGTCGAGGAATTAAATAATTAAAATCTTCTTTTTAAGATGAAATATTTTAAAAATATATACCTATGCTTTATCAAGTATTAAATTCGAATATTTTTAGAAATTTGCATTTTGCAAAAATTGTTTCAATTATTTTTATACTATATCATAATTTATCATAGAGTGCTTTTAAGCCTCATCCTTTTCCCTTCTCCTCATGGGCGGCACTAAATATAGGCTTATTGTAGATATTCTACTCTTATCTTTATCTTATCTTATACGCTATTATAAATTTTGGCTTTTTCTCTTTTGAAAAATAAGTATAATGAGATTGAGAGATCAAAATCTTACTTGTTCGTACGATCGATGAGGCGCGACTTCATAGGTCCAGACGAGATAGGAGATTCCTTGAGCTGTCCAGGACGTTTCCTGTATGAAGAATAAATATAATAAATTATAATAGAGTTAAGTCAATTATGTAAATTTAAAACAGGAGATAAAATATATAAAACTTTACATTATATTTTTATACTATATTACTATTTAATAATTATTATGATTTGGTTTCTTTTTACAAAGAAGAAACTCAAAAAGAAACCTCATTAAGAAAAGTTTGGGAAACATACTTACACGACAGCTGGTTTTTGCTTCATCGGACTCTGTCGATTGCCATTAGTTACTGAGACACTTTCTTTCGGTTTGACGAGAGCCGGCGACGACACAGAAGTCTTGGCACCTTGATTCACCGACGAGCCCGGGCTGTATTTTTCTCGATTAATAGCTCGCCGATTCTTAATGACTGGTGCTTTATATCTCATGCGCGCCTCTAATCGCTCCTTCGCCAAGTTCGTCGCCGGACTCATTTGCATCTGGGTGATTCTGTCTTTGCACCAGGCAACGTGACGGTCGTAAGCTTTGATACCGAATTGTCGATTGCACGTGGGGCACGTTCCTTTCTCGTTGGCGCGAGTCGGCGCGCCCGGGGAGATCAGTGAATTGCACTGTTTATTGCTTGAGTCCATCTGAAAGAATAAATCGTGTGGAAATAATGTAAAAATTTATCATATAAACCGCAAAATAAGAAATAATATAACAAATTGTTTGAAATAATTTATTATTTTTAGTAATTTAAAAAAGTAATAATCTTCGTAAACATCCGAGACTATATTTAATTTGTAATTTAATTACGAAGAAAATTCTTTAAAAAAATTACAATAGAAACAATCAAGAACTTACGATTTCGCCACGCGCCTCCCGGATGGTTCGCAAGAAGTCGTCGTGGGTCTTCTTCCAAGAGGACTTGGTTGTCTTCTCGTCCTGATAGTGTCGCCGGGGCTCCTGTCTAGGCAGAAATTCAGCCAGCTCGGTGCCCTGGATCCTTTGCTTAGCCGAGTCGAAGGGTTTGCGTTTCTTGGTGGCAGAGCGTTCGCATATCCTCGTGTGTTTCTCCAGCGACTGCGGCGTGAATGTCCGCGCGCAGATAGCGCAAGGCAGCAGAATCGGCGGCAGCGCATCTGCATCCATTTACACCGTCCAGAGATTAATGAATCTCCGTGATTTAAAGTTGTCGTGAATTATATATTTTTTTTTCTTTTTTTTTAAAGACGAATCAAGGGCTCGGAAACTTCGACCCTGGTCAGCGGTTGCGTCTTATTTATCCCCGCCGTTATTCTCTCCACATATTTGTTCTGTCATTAAAATATCACGTGAACGAGGCGCGTTTTCTTTTTCCGTCAAATATTATATATTTTTTATTTTTCACAAATGTCAAAGGACACCAAAGTTATGGCGTGATTAGTTTATACGTAAATGCGATTCTGCGAAATTTGTCCCCGACGTCGCATGGAAATTCGATGTGACTCACCCCTTGTTAATCGCTATTCATTCTGACAAAGGCCACAAATCCGCGAATGATCGATATTTTCGCCGACAACACGTCGAGAGATCGCCAAATACGACAACAGATATACGTCATGATATGCAACGCGCGCAGGCGTTAGACACGTGCGAGATGGTATGAGTGCGAAACACGTGCTCGTCATCACAACTACATAAACTATTAAAAAACTACACACCACCAAAGCCTAACTTAAACTCTGCATATTTCATAAATTTAAAAAAAAATGATTCTTTTAAAAAAAAATATATATATATATATGTATACCTAAAAATATTTTCTTAAAAAAAATTCTTTATTATTATATATTCTATAATTTTAATTAATATTTTAATTAATGTTTTAATATATGATTTGTGTCTCTCTTTAACTATTTTATGATGCTATAATACTCTCACTTTTATTCTCACTTGTAAAAACGCGAAACTTCGCGGCAATACAATACGCTGCTGTGATTGAAAGTGTCGGGAATCTAAATTGCAAATTGCACTTTCTTCGATCGCCGCGGGAATTACGCAACGATAGCTACAATGTTTTCTTCTTGCGAGATCGTCTCGAGAACGCCCTAGTTACTATGAGCTATGCGTTATGAGATAACGCGCAATCAATGAACCATTGAATTTTAAAAGTGGTGTAAGTTCTACATTTCCTTATGTAAGTTCCGACGACGTGAATCGATAGATTCTTGCAATATTTTTCATTTTGCATCACTAGCTTGGGGAAGGCAAAGAGGTCGCATTCCTTCAATGGAACGCTGCAATGACACAAACAGAAAATTACAAGAAGTAATTAAACTTTCCGCACGATAATCACTTTTTCACATCTCAAAGTGTCCCACGCGAGTTTCATCCAATCGTGCCTTATCGAAAGACATTTCGCGATGACAGTTCTACTCATCTGAATTCTACAGAAGGATTGAGCGATCGATACCAAGGTGCGCGAATCGCGCGGACACCTGCGGCGCCGATGCCGACGAGGACGTCGAAGAGACATCGCCCCCGCGAGAGACTCGGCTCTCTCGCCTACGGATGAACAAGTTTCCTTTTTTAGGCGTCTCGCGAGGTGCCTCGGCAATCGTGGAGAACGCGAGTCTTGTCTTCCTATGCGAACAGAGTGAATCCGTTCCTTTCGTTCTCCGATTCTTTCTTCGAGCGAGAAGATATGTCTTTTTATCGTCTGCGTTTTCGGAGCAGTTAAACTTTTATTTTCCCTATTACATCCAAAGTTTAAATTATTTAACGCTGAATATCTTAAATCCATGATATCTTATTGTCGCCTCCAATGTCAACACCAGGCGCGATACCCACGTTTAGCGCGGCGGAAATGTGGGTCAGCGCGTTTGCCTTCGTTCGCGGTGCACACTTTATATCGCAACGCACTCATTATCAAACACTACTTTTTTTAAACTTCACAATCCACACGTTCTATTTATATTAACTTTTTATCTCATTTTTATATTTCGTTATTAATTTTTGTTTTTTCCTATTTCTTTATATTTAACTTCACATTTTCTCTGATGCTAGGGCGACGACGAAGAATCTTCGGTAATTTTTCACGCGACAACGTGAAAACAAACATTGTGACGTTATCAAATGATCTCATTCTGTCGAAGCCACTTAACGACGCCCACAAACGACTGTTTTGCTCTTCTAAACGAGTCGCGCGCGTATTAGAAAGAACAGGCAAAGTTTTTTCCACGTAAGCTATTACCGTTCTTCCCGCGTCATCTAAGGTCGACGGGAGTCTTAATGCATTTGCTAAGTCGGTGTAAATTAATCAGTATGCACAGCGGAGGCGAGTTATTACGATTCTTATGGCTGGTTTTAGACGTGAGCGAGAAAAAGGAAAATAAATGTTTCAGTAGCGTTATCTAACGTAAAACAAAAAATAAATCTTTCAAAGTCGATTAATTATTTTATTAAAAGAACGACTGTAATAATAATCGCGTGCTGAGTTATTGAAGCTACTTTATTAATTTAGAATACTGTATAATAGTCGGTACGCAATTTATTTTTAGAGGAAGATATAAAATTGCATAAGAAAAAAAAGTTATTATATTATTGTTATAAATTATCATTGCAAGTTATATTATATTATTGTTATATTGTAGAGTCCAGAATTTTTAGGAAGATAATATATTTTTATATAAAAACGGCTTTTCTCTCTCTTTTTGTAATTATATGACAATAATAATGTGATTCTCTAATCAAACATGTTTATTTTATTTTGGTTTGGAAAGTAAATTCAATGGTATGTATGTACTATCCAAACGTAAACAAACATCTGCAGACACGGCGATCTGAATATATAATGATACTGAACACAGCACAAAGCAAACTTTATAATTTCAGAAATTCTGAACTACATTAAATTTCACAAGAAAATTTAATCTGTGTTAAATATACTTGACACTCATTAAAACTTGCACTTTAATATTTTTCAAACCATACGTGCCATTAGCCCTGCATTCTTCGTTCTTGTTACGAAATACACTTTGTGAGACTATGAGACCAGAATAAGCACAAAATATTTTTATTCTTTTTGATTCGCCGATTTTTACAAGATTCGAACACAAATTATATAATTTAATAATCCGGTGATTAGAAAATAACGATACTGTGAAACGATGCTCGATGACGAATTTACGGGCTCACCTTCCTCAGAATATAGTTCGACCCATGTTTTGCAGATAGATATTGGCGTCTTATTCGGAGTTTCGTCGTGAAATAGAGCCTTGTCGTGGAACGGGGCCTCATCATAGGACGGGGCCTCGTCGTGGAACGGATCTCCGTCCGCGAGACTCTTCGGGACGCAGCACAGCATCTGATTGCGAGCACATCAAGACACCGACTGAGAGGCTGCGCGAGCCAAGCCGGCTCTAGTAAGAGCGAC